AAGGATAAAAGTGGACATCCTTATCTAGCTCCTCTAAATAGTGGAAAAGTAGGAGAAAACATACCATTAACCTTCACTTTAGATGTGGGTGACTCATTATAGTATCTTAATCCATTTTATAAATTCCAAAGGAAATCCAGATCTATTTAGTACAGCAAACATATACTATGTATTTTATCAAAGGCTTTTTCAGCATCTAATGACAAAATTACAAATTGACCTTTATTTTTATTCAAGTCTATTAAATCTACAGCTAACCTGATGTTATCTGCTACTTGCCTAGTTTTTATAAACCCTGCTTGATCATTCTTAATAACAAACTACATCACTTGCTGTAATCTGTTTGCTAACACTGGTGTTAAAATCTTCTTTTCCCTTTTATTTTTAATCTTATTTTTGTATGATGCATAAGCGATAATTCTATTTGAATGTATGTTTTATATGCTTCCCATTCAAAAATTTGGGCATTCAGTGTTTTTGAATTCAAATCAAAATATTGTGAGGTGTTTACCTGCATTTGTTGTGGAAATTCTTTATCTTTTAATACGGTAACATTGAAATACCAATTTCTCAATACCTTAACCGGCTTCTGAAACACATTTCAAGGCGATTGCACTATGATCACATACATAACAAACATCAGTGTTACATTATTGAATTTGATGATATAAGGTCGAGGATATTAAAAAAATAATTAAGCCTAAAAAAATTCTGATGCACATTTGAATGAAATGTATATTCTCTTTTAGTTGGATACATCAAACACCAGGGGTCTACTAATTCAATTCTTCTATATAAGTCTTAACTGTTTCCCTTAATAATGATTCTTTTTTCCACGCCAGTGTATTTCTATCAAGCTCAGAATCCAATATTTCATTGAAATCTCCTCCTATTATCAATTTATCATAAATATACTCATTCAAGTATTGAAAACATTCATAAAACATAATAGGAGAATCTAAATTTGGTCCATAAATATTAAGCATAACTATTGCCGTCTCTGCTATTTTGGCACACAAAATTAAATAACACCCGTTTACATCAGTTATATCTTGTACATCAGTTGGGAATCCTTTTCAAACCAAAATGGCCACATCTTTAGCTTTTGTTGAAGTATCTGTGAGGTAAACCTGTCCTGCCCAATCCTTCGTTAGTAAAGATTTATCCTGTTCCATTAAATGAATCTCCTGTAGATAAGCAATATCCACCCTTAATAATTTTAAATATGCTAAAATTACATTTTGTTTCTTAGGTTCTTGCAACCCTTTTACATTAAGGCTAACTAACTTCATCCATAAATTTTATTTTGGCCCACTTATCAATATTCTCCCAATACATTTTATGACCTGTACCATTAAACATATATCTATATATTAAGCATAAACATAAAACTTTATTATTAGGTATTTGTTTTCTGTTACTTTCCTTGAATACCTTAGGGTGAAGGGGATGAGAAGAATTCAGTATAATGGTTGGGGATTACCTATCTTCTCTTATGATATTGCTTTTTTTCAAGATAGATTATGGAGGATCCTCTCTGTAATTCTTTCATCTGAGATGTGTTTTTCAGCCAGATTATGGAATACCGCATTTTAGGGAGATCAGTCTGGCTTCTCTAGTTTAACTAATAACAAGCTATTTTAAAGATACTTTAAATATTCTTAAGAACATTAAATCTGTTTAGGTTTTTTACTGTGTTGCTTAAGGCTGTTTTTTATTATTTTTATATTGACATTTTGATTGTTAGCTTGGGTGTCTTTAAAAGAGAAAAGGTAGAAAACAATTTCTTATTAATAAAGACTCCTGTAGAGAATTTAATATATAATTAATCCTATCTCCTCTTTTCACTATAATAGGATGATCTAAATTTGGTCTTTTTCTTAAGTTCTTCAGTTTCATACTTTAATGTCTAAACTATACCATTTAAAGAACAAGCATCTATATGAGCTTGTTCTTAATTATTTTTAAAGTCCTTATTTTTGGTATACTCCTTTCTATCAGGTATTAAAAGATGAGCGCAGTGATGTGGAGAGCAGCTCTGAAGATGATGATGTGACTTCAAACAACAGAAAAGGAATTCTTAATACTTCAAGCAACGATCGCAGTCGGATAAATGGCCATGTAATTAGTGATCAGTGGGTAGAAGAGTAAGAACAGGACAGCTGCCCCCACCCCAAAGATTTGAGTTCAGATGTCTAGAAATGTCCACAGTTCCAAGAAATCTTTAATCAACTGCCACATTCCCAAATCCTCCAGCAAATCTGAAACAGGCACAGCACAGCAGTTTTGCACAGAATGGAGGAAGCTGATTACTAGTGCAAAACCTCTTTCTACTTTATCTTTTTAAAGAAAATAAGCCATTTTGTATTTAATGTTTGTTGAAATGTGTAAGAGATGGAAGGAGGGAAAGGAGCAGGCTTCAGAACATTTTTGGGGGGAGGTTAAGCTTGGTCTCCAATAGGTTCTGTCTGCTTTACTGCATTCCAGGATTTTGGACAATAATCTAGTCACTTCATATTTCTTGCAGCACCTACCTGTGTCCTAAGGAGGCTAAAGTGAGCTACAACTGAACATAAACAACCTGGGGATTGTGGTAGAGATAGAGTGAATGGTTTGCTTATTAGTGCATGGCATACCAATGGCAAATAATGTTGTTTTTTCTTATGTCATCTTACTGGGTGTTAAGGAAGATTAAGCTGTCATTTATTACTTTTCTTGATTGGTGCAGCATCTCCAAAGTCTTGTAATTTCCTATAATGTCCTGCTTTTCTTACAAACTCTGGATTTGAGGTCATGTAAGAATTACCAAACAAGATGATAGCTTTCAGTGCTAGGATTATAGGTAGGGATGACCAGTGTTTGTTGCTGATCGCTCGTACAGGGAAGTTGTGAACCTACCCATGTTTTCAGAAGAAAAGTGATGTCCTGGACCAACCTCAATCTTGTGTGACACTGCAGTGGCTGCCACACAGGGACTGAATGGGTCTCCTCCCTCCACTTGCCTTTTATTTAATGGTACTTCAAAGGAGATGGAAGATGGGGAAGTGTTGTTAGGACTTGGGCTTTGGAAATCCCCTGGATTATTAACATTTTATATCATTGTTTACTCTGTGATTAAAAAATGCTTGATGAATAGGATCTATGAATTTTGTTTTATTGAGAAAGGTGATTTTCATGGTGGGCTTGAGTTATATTTTACTAACTTGCTTGCTGTTGTCAAACTTTAGTGATGAAAAAGAACTGTCATTTTGACACTACAAAACAAATAGCCCCTGGTTGTGGCTCAGTAGGTATTGTTGCTGAGCTAACCCTAAGCATGGTCTTCTGCTGGTGTTGACGATGATCCCTATGCTGGCTCTTGGACTTTTGAAAGAGAAATTATTACTTTTTTGTTTGTTTTTATTCTGGTCCAGTGGAAATGGATAGTAAAAATAGCTGCATGCTAGGTAGTATGTAGATTTAAAGGAATGATGGAACAGAGGGGCCTAGCCATCATCAACTGAAGAATGTTCAGGGAATGAATCATCACATCCAAGAAATACACATTTTATTTTTGAAAGAAATCTTCCAAGAGCCACTTAGACTGTTTCCTATGTCAGAAGAAACAAGTTATTTGCACTGAATAACATGTTTGAGATGAGATACAGACATTGTTTTAAAGGCCAGAAAGAAATGACAACATATAATAAATTATCTGTAAATAAATCTTTTAATAGTTGCTTCACCAGTTTCTATTGTAGGAACAAGGAGAAAAACTGCATGTGAGAATCTGATGACTATATCATTACAGATATTTCTACTTTTTCAACACAATTCAAAATTCCCATTCTGTATGGCAGAAGATCCCGGAACAGAAGTTTCTGATAGAACCACACCAGTCTTTCATTCGTTACACATCCTATGAGGTGTTGAGAAAGTGTTCAGTGCTTAGTATCATCAGCATTTGTCCCTTGCGCCTTCAGTTGCTTATTTCTCTGAAATGCCTGATACACACCAACACTAAGGAGGAAGCCACCATATAGAGTAAGGAGCATCATAGAGCCCGAAAATGTCTTGTAGCCAAAGTCAGCCAGCTGCTTTGCAGAAACCATTTTTGCTGTGGAGAAAGCAAAGAGCTTGAGTCATAATTAGGACATGATGGGGGGAGAGGCTTTTAAATATATACACTGTACAGAACTTGTTAAAGAAGACTAGTAGTAATGGATGTTTTGTGGATTGATACCTGAATAGAGGAAACCAAATTAATCTCATAAAAAGATTGAACAGGATCACCACCTTGATCAGAAAAGGCAGCAGTTCTCTACTGTTATCATGATCTTTAATAACTGGATCTTCTCCACTCGATAAAAAAAAAAAAGGTACTTAAAATAGCACGTCTTACAGCAGCATAGTTGGCACATGAAGTTTTGAAAAGCATTCAGAGAAAAAAATGCTGCTGTCCTTCCTTCGATTGAGTATAGCATCCCATTCAGAACATGGGTAACTGGTTCAGAATAGCTTTTTAAAGACAGAAGTCGCATTTATAGCGTGTTGTGCTAAAAAGAGATGAACGTGCAGCAATTTAAATGTTTGTGCATGAATACACCCAAAAGGGGTAAGTTATACAATGGTGAAACAGCACTTGGAAGCCACAGGCTTGTCTAGATGAAGAAATTCCAGAAGGTCTCGGATTACTTCTCTTTTCATGGAGAGCAATGAAATCCACCCTTTAGAGTCATCTTGCTGTTTAAATGATACTTTATCAAAATGACAGCACATTAGTAATCCCTGTTTACATCAAAACTTTTTTTCACGTCTCCTGCAGCTCCTGTCTCTTAAGTGCAGGTTACTTCAGGACAGAAGATACCCAATAAGCCTCCCAATGGATCACGGTGGTGCTAGGGCAAAAGGTTCCTCCTCATGAAAGGACAGTTAAGAAAAGATAGCTAACATTTTTGTCTTTAAAGCCACATGTGGTACTGGCTGGTAGGTCAATGGGCAACAGGTCTGCCTACACCTAATAGATGCACACACAGCCTCCACTTCAATGATCTCAATCAGCTGGTGGTTAGAGAAAAAAAATTAAAGCCATCCCCTTGTGACCTACCAATGTCGCAGCAACCTGATTTTTTGGAAGTTCCAGCAACCAACCAGAGCCCTCTCAAGATAGAAGCCAGAGGATCAGATTCCTTTTGTTCTGAAAGGATGCTATGGTCCCTGGGTTTTGCAGTAAGAAGCTGATTTCTTGAAAAGTCCTTCTTACAAAGGCAAATAACTCCAGGAACCATTAATATATAAGCCAGTCTCTCCTTTAGGGCTGTGATGGCAGTAATAAGTGGGGTATTAAGTGATGGGAGTAATAAAAAATGTTCTGATACTGTTTTGGAGATTTTCAGTTAAGTATATTTTTATATAAATTTAAATTGTGCAGGCAGGCTGACATGGGAGAAGACAGACCTAAACAAGCTAGTAACTGGCAGCTTTCATAGCAGTGTTGCAATGTAGTCCTGCCTGTGAGCATCCTCCAACTACCTCACTGCTGCACTGTAGACAACCTGCAGTTTTCAGAGTCTGCTAAGGGTCTTCCTTTGGATTCTTAAGGTTTGATGAAAGGTACAGTGCAAAATCAACATTTTTTGGGTTAAGAAAATACATCAAAGCAAGCAAACTCTTTTTCTCATTTCTTAGCAAGGATTATTTACTGCTAGTCAAAACAAGGTCATATACACTCCCCTCCTTTACCTGCCCACATAACAATGTGAAAGTAGAAAAACATGAAAGGGTTTTTTATATACTGCCTTTGTTTTCCAAGGAATAATACTGAACTAATATATATGTACATGTGGCTATTTCTTATTACTCTAATCACATCTTACTTTGTTAGACACAAGCAAAAGGTTAAAAATATAGTAACTAGCCTTTGGCAGACAGGTATAAACTTCCTCCTCTTGCTCTGGCTGTTCTATTTTCTATCATCTTCAAACCCTGCAGTCTACATTGAATAGATAAAGTGTCATGGTGCCACCTCCTCTTTGTTTTGGGTACACTTCTCTGGATTGTGCCCTTTCCCACTTCAGCTATCTTCTGCTATCTCAGGGACAAAATAAAGCTTCAGCTGTGTAACCCTGCCCAGTCCATTTTAGTTACTCTATGCCAGCCACTATTGCGCTTTACTAATACCAGCAAAAAACCTTCAACAGTGTGACATCTATATTTTCTAGCTATGACACCTCCATTCAAGTTCTCTCCCCAGCAGTTCTTCCCAGAGTCCTCTCTATTGTTTCTTACAACTTCACTTCTGATGCCAGCTCAATAGTCCTTTGTCCTACTATGAGAATATTACTAACTCCCAATCAAAGCTTCTCTTGCTAGCTAGCACAAAGTGTTTATTTGGATGTCTCCAATAATGATCAACCAGCAGGGAGCCATGGGTGAAAGCAAACTTTCACAGTATTCCCAAATACAGAATGCTCTAATGATAAGCAAAACTATCAGGCTTCCATTACCATAGCCAGTTTCAGCTTCATCAGGGGCAAATTTGGTGGATAAAAATGTGCTACTGTACTTCAGTCTACAGAGAGGAGGACCATGTCAGAATGTGCTTTTATTTTAACATTTGAACTTGGTACTTTTCCTTGTGCAGGCAACCTTTTATCCAGAAATACAGATATTACTACTGTTGCCACTCAGAAGCAGACCAGTACAGCTTGGCCCAGATTTTTCCACCACAGCTGATAACAGATCAATGTGAAGGCTGAGAACAGGAGTAGTACTGGTATGGCCTTGTCTTAGGAATTAATGTAGCTATAAAAGGCTGTCGAGGTGTAATTTTTGAATACCCCCCCTCAGAAGGAAATTAATACAAATGGGACATGACCTCACCCACCTCTCTAAATATATGTACATTACCTTTAAACCTGCTTTTGATTGGCTTGAAACCATTCTGAACTTCGTGATGGGGGAAGGAAATCTCAGTCTAGGTGTCCCCATATTGGCACAGTAATTCATCTTCCCTCAACTTGGTTGAGGGAATACATTAGAATAGAGTGTCCATCATCTTCAGACACCATTAACACACGCCCTCTCTTTCCTGTCTCAGAATTATGGACCTTTAAGGCACTAGGCCAGAAAGCAGGAGACCGAGTTCTAGTCCTGCCTTTGGCACGAAGCCAGCTGGGTGACCTTGGGCCAGTCCCTCTCTCTCAACCCTGGGAAGCAGGCAAGGGCAAGCCACTTCCAAAAATATTTGTTCCTGCAGTCACCGGTCAGGGGTGGCTTGACGGATCGTAATAATGAGTTCAGATAAAGCAACAGCTACTATTACTAAGAGAGAGTCAGTCTGGCGTAGGGGTTAAGGCACCAGGCTAGAGACCGGGAGTTCTAGTCCCGCCTTAGGCGCGAAGCCAGCTGGGTGACCTTGGGCCAGTCACTTTCTCAGTCCCGGGAAGCAGGCAATAGCAGCCACTTCCAAAAATGTCTCCAAGAAATCTTCAGGGACTTTTCTGCATGGTCGCCAAGAGTCAAGACCGACTCAAAGGCACAGCCACAAAAGCCCGACAGAGCTTTCCAGCCATCCCACGGACGGATCAGAAGCGCCTCTTCCTCCCCCATCTCCGCAGGGTCGCGAGCCCGGACAGCCGTTCCGCCGTCTCGTGACGCCCAAGCAGCGAATGCGGGCAGCTGCGGCCTCCCCACCGAGGCTCTGAGCAGTACGTACACAATTTAACTCCAGCCGTCATTATACCACCCCGTAACAAACATACCCGTAAACCTCTCCTCCGCTGCTCGGCTTCGCGGTGCGCAACGCTGACTTCTTCCACTTCCGGGTTCCTTCCGGCTGGGCGCGGCCGCGGGTTAACCCCGCTCCCCGCAGGAAAGGGAATTTCCTGTCAGGAGGACCTCAACGTTTGCATAGACGTAGTAAAGTCAAGACTCATTACCAATGTCTAGAAAAGGAACTGTTCCGAGACCCTAATCGCGCTCTTCTTCCTCCTCCTTCCCCCGGTGCAGGAGCGAGACGATTCCCCCAAGCAACGTCGTTGGGTTTCAGCCTCCCGTGCAAGCTGAACGATAGCGCCCAAGACGGGAATTCCTGATATTTTCAGCTTAGTTTTTTTGGTGAGAAAAGCGTGTTAAATTCTTAAAACGTTTCTCAGATTAGACGCCGAAGCGGCTACAATTTGAAAGGCTGTAGATTGAAAGTGGCATTTTGACTTCCTCAGCCCAACCCCGTGTTCCACGCCCGCCGCTCCAGAACGTGGAAATCCAGCCTTCCGCGAAGTTGCATAGACACTCATAAGACGTTTAAATGCTTTACAACATTAATTAGTTGGTTGATTGATTATGTGCCAGTCATTTTCGACTCCTAGCGACCACAGAGATTTTCTCCATGATTACAACATTAAAGCAGCAGCTTATTTAAACAGGATTTTAATTTTCAGCGGTTAGTCAAGACACGATGCTACTCACTGCATTATTTCTTGACTTTTTTAATAGTCAGCTTTCCCCTTTCCCAGGTATCCAAAGCAACGGCATCCAAAGGCCATAATATATTGGATTCCATGTGTGAGTCTACATTCTATAACTCTATGTGTGCTGATATCTTTTCACGAAACTTTAAAGCCTAGGTCGCCAGATTTATTGGTGCCGCGGTGCATATTGGGGCTTGTAGTTTTTAATGAGCTTGCCCGCCCTCTGGGTCTTTGATTCCATTAAATGCGTTAAAGTAGGGTTACTGTGCCTGAGATGTAAAATATAGACGGCCACGAGTTGGTCACAGAATTTTTTGTTTATTTTTATTGTTATCTCGCGGTCGTCCGGTTTTACGCAACATAGTAGTTTTAGTTAAGGGCAGCAATATTCCTGGGATGAGCGAGGGTTACATGTGAATACAAATGGAGGCAACGGAGGGGAGGGGAGCTATCTTTTCGGGACCACAAATTCGGAAGTTCAAAAAGAAAAAGGAAGACCTTGTGTCCTTCTGAAAGTATTGCATAGGCTGTTTTATCCCGGTGAGTGAAGAGCCGTTTTCCACTCCTAGCGACCACATAGATAGATTTTTCTCCATGACGATCGATCTATTCCTAACCCGTTTCTTCCAGGTCTCCCAACGGTGCACTCATCGCCGCTGTGGCTGAGGTGTGAAGAGTAGCTTTACACATATATTATAACAAAAGGGATGTGTGTACAGTATTTTTACCGTTACCTGTGGATTTTCCTGGCGTCTCTCGTCTGTAATAGGACTATGGCTACTGTGGTGGGGCTGCAAAACTCCAGGCGCTGCAATGACACAGATTCTCTTTATTGCCACCATGTGGTGGATCTGAATTTTTTGGTCAAAATATGATAGCCCTATTTCTTCCAAGCCACTTTCAGCTGGGCCCTGAGAGGGAGACTGACTTGAATTTTAATATTCAGGTATTTCACATTAATATCGACTTGAAACTAGCATGCACACTGGTCCAGCTCCAAACCTCCAGTGAGCAAAACTACATCATTTAAGCCATGCCTTAAGAGTTCAGACCATTCCTTGGAGTTATCTCATAGGGTAGCTTTTCAAGTGTGGTAAGATACATGGAAAATGTGTACTACTTTGTCAGATGTTATTAATATTGTCACACCTCTTTAATGGGATTGGGAGAATTTTGATATTATTTACATCACTACTACCTTCACTATGATAAAGAAAAATCTTTTAAAGCACTAGGAATAATGCAAAAGTGGAAAAGAAACAAGAATCTTTTAAGTGAAAGCTGAATATTCCAAGAATATATTTTTTGTGGTAACAGTCTAATATTGTCAGGTCTCTAAAAACTGTTAAAATACTTAGGAAGTCTTGATAAGGGCAAAACTAAGACACAATAATGTGCCACTGTCCAAGCTGGACAGTGAAGAAATAAGTCAGGAATAAAAGAGATCCTTCAGAATTACTGTGCTGGTAAAGGATGCGGTAGGTACCATTGTCTGTTGGTGAACAAATCAATCATTATTGGAGGAAATCAAGCCTAAACTTGTCTTATGACAATACTATAGCTTTCCTGTTTTGGACACATCATACAAAAAGAAAGGTTGTTAGAGAAAGATACCATGCTTAGAAAATGCAAAAAAGGAAGACCAGCAAGCTGATGGATGCCATTCTAGCAATAATTATCCATAGGCTCACCATGAGTTGACAGCAACTAACGGTGATAGAGTATGCCAAGTCTGGCACCTTGTTTCCCTTCATCTAGTAACCAGCCCCACTGTGACCATCATGACTTACTTCTGAGTAGGCATGTGCTGCACTATAAAATAAGAGTTGAAATAGCTTTGTAAAATGGGCTTAGCACCATCTTCTATTCCAAAAATGTATAATTAGTCAAACTCATTATACTTGCAAAGTCAATACAAGTAGTCCTCACTTACAGACCACTTGTTCAGCAACAATTCAAAGTTATGATGGTGCTGAAAAAGGAGATTTATGACCGGCCCTTGAAGTTGCATCTGTAGCAGTGTCCCTGCAGTTACATGATCACCATTTGCAACCTTCACAGCCAGGTTCTGACAAGCAAAGTCAATGGGGAAGCCAGCAGGAAGTCACAAGTTGGGATCACGTGACATTGTGCTTAATGACCATGGGTGATTTGCTTAACAACTGCAGCCAGAACTGACATTGTGTCACCCCAGTCATGTGACATTTCACTTTATGACTGCATCACTTAGCAAAGAAGTTGCCAGTCCCAATTGCAGTCGGTGAGGACTACCTGTATATGTTCAGCAGTTATTAAGGGCAGCTTTTGGGTGAGAAAGAGAAAATAGGAAAATCAGTCCCCACAGTGCGAACTGAACTTCAGAAATGCTAAGGTGATACTGGGATGGGGAGAAAGTTTTCTCTTAAAGGTCCAGAGTAAATTGGCCATAAGAGGTGGAATTGATCCATGTGAATATTATAACCAAAGTTCTTAGCTCACTATCATACATTCTTTAACTTGCTCTTCTTCCGTTTCAAGTCTTAGCAAAAGTTTATACATTTCTGCAATCACATGTTCATCATTTGTACATAATCCATTTTCAAATTCCGTTTTACAGTATTCTATTCCTGATACTTTTTTATCTATATTGAATCTTTTAATCTTTCCCTTGCACGCCCTCGCTCACCCAGCAGCCACCACCCCCAGCCCCACCATGCCTCGCTGTCCACCTGCGCACCCTCCCCCACCCAGCAGCAGCCACTTACCTGCCTGCCTGCCTGCTTGCAAGCCACCTGGGACTTGCGACTTCCTGCTGTCTTCCCCACTGACTTTGTTTGTTGGAAGCTGGCGGGAAGTTGTGAGGAGGTGCTCACTTAATGACCCATGATCCCGCTTAATGATGGCGACAGGGAGTGCCAGGATTGCCACTGCTAAGCGATGCAGTCACATGACATTGCACGTTACAACCACATTGCTTAGCGATCGAAATTCCAGTCCCAGTTGCCATCATTAAGTGAGGACTACCTGTGGTTACCCTAAAAAGTTGGTTTCCTGCCATTCAATACATCTCAAGATGTAAAGACTGCTCTGGCAGCTGAGAGGCATAACCCTTCAGCTTGGTGGCACAGACGAAAGGGCTTTGGTTTGGGATTAGGCTTTGTGTTGGAAAGAAGATTGCTACATACTTTGCGGAAACCACCCGTCTCTGGACCCCCTCACTTTCTAGATACCCTCCATGCTTACTTGGGAGAAGGCTTGAAGTTATGGGCATAGGACTGAGGGATACTTACTATGGCTCAAAAGCCTGAAGTCTACATTCATAATTAGGAGTGCGTAGTCTTGCTCATGTGCCTTGTATTAATTACCTCATTTCCATCATCAAGGAATTGTTCTGGAAATCTAAGGATTTCTTAGTTATGTCAGCTGTTAACAGAGAACAAGATCTACTTGTGCTTGTTTATGCGTGCTTCTCTGGATCTGTTCCAGCACGATGCTTATTTTTTTAAAGAAAATTATTCTACTTATTCTTCATGTTGGAAACAGTGAAAGGGTAATTTTGTCTTCTCAATGCTGTCTTTCATTAGATAGATCCACACCTTCCAAAAATATGTAGCCTTGTGATGCAATTTTTACTTGACTAAATGATCATTTGCAGATTCTGAGAACTATCTGCTTCTCTGAGAAGGAAGAGATCTGACCCTGCTGCCTTTATCCTCCTAAGTCCAACAAATACTAGATTGTCTAGCTTACACTGTCTGTTTCTTCTCAGGGCTGAGAACAGCCCTTAACAGACTGCTGTGCTGGCAGAACATAACTCCAAATGGCAAAGGGAAGACTTTTTATAGCAACAGCAAAGGGCAGGAAAATTGCCATCTAGACCTAGGAGGGTTTCAGAGCACAGCTTTCTCAGTTTTGGCCGTTCATCATTTCTCTTAAGTGCATGCTATTTCTCAGCTGTGGTCAGCATTAAGATAATTTTTCCCCCAACTGCTGTTACAGTTGGGAGCCAGTTAGCATTGTCTGATTAAAAGGCAGGTCTCCTATACATTTAATAGCAGTAAACTCAAGGGAATTTGGCAGTTTAACATTCAGAAGTTCAAAAACTTGTACTTATAAAAATCCCTGTTCTACATAGCTGGTTATATCCCTTTCCAGCTGACTGCCCTAAATGCTTGCACATTATCTGTGGTGTCTTGTTCAAGACAGATGTAATAACAAACATCAGTTGGATAAGTCAGTTGTGAGCATGGCTGGAAATAGTATAGGCATTAATAGCCAGCCACATACTTCCATATTGTCTAAAGCTTGAGATACCAAACTAAATGATTTTATTTGAAAAAAAATTGTGTGTGTACACAAAAAATGTGCCATACTCATTGTTTTGTGTATTCTATAATGTTCAGAATGGTCAAATTCTGGATGATATGTAGCTAAAGTTAAAAATACAAATCTTGTTGACTTCTGCACTGAAGCCAGTGTAGAAATGGTATCTTCACTTGAGATACTTTACTTTCATATAATGACCAAGTTGTTCAAGTTTCATACAAACAAAATGGGCATTTCATTGATAGATTTCATAAGCTGATTGGATCCAGTATTCTTCAGTACATAATATATCTGAAAACATAAAAACAGTTGGCAAACAGAGAGGAATTTGACACTTAAAAATGTCTATCTTGTTAAGAGTGGCAGTAGAAGCACAGGTTTTCCATTTGGTACTTTTGAAATATTGATCGAAAACTCTTTGGGCAAGGACTTTTTTATGGCCCAGTGAAAACCCCATGTACATTTTCTGAGCTGCATAACAAATACATTACCAAGACCTGCTTTTCAATGCCATGTGAAAAAATGGTCCATCAAGGCTCTCTTTGTTCTTGATGTGGCGGTCACTTAGTGGTTTGCTATACAAATTCACTATACAGAAGTGCAGTTTACCTATTTGCTAAACCATTTAGAAGAAAACAAGCCAAAAGTAAGATTGCCTTAGGGCTAATCCTCTATGGGTCATCTTGCTGTGGAAGCATGACTGAAATAATTCTTCATTTGTCCTCCTTGAATTAATTACCTTGATTATAACTGTCTATGGTCTTTTTCTTGGGGAAAAAGGAGTAATTTTTGAGATAATACTGATAGGATAAGTTGGAGGAAGTTTCTCCAGCATGGTTATGGCTCTCAGGAGCTCTTTAGAGGTGCTGTAAGAATGGCACATACAATCCAACTTCCCTTAAACTCTCATAGCAGAGAGATACTGATGTTATATTATGTCATGCCCTCATCCACTATAGCAGAAATTATGAGGCCACACATATTTTTCCTCCTCCCCTTTAATTTAATTCATTTAACTGGCCGATTAGAAAGGTCACAGAGTGTCTTGAGTATCAAATAAAAGGCATGACTTCTGCCCCATCAGCAGATTAAATTGCTATAGGGAGACAGGCAGGACTGGAAAGGTCACTTCAGAAAGAGGAAAGACATCTAGCAAAAATGGTGGGAAAACCTTCTGCCATTAGCAAATCCACCTTCTACTTTCCATGTGTCAAATCTGGAGCCTAAAAACTCCTGCTCTGAAAACTGTTCCGGCACAAAGCTACCACAACAGGAAATATCCAAGGAGTTCATATTCTCTTTTGTTCTGATCCTACAATCATGAAAATCTCAATTTTATAGAAAGTAGAGGAAGGAGGAAAGTGTATGGAGCTCTCTGAAGGGAGAGCATTATCCTTTGGATTATTTCAGAGGATCCCTGATACTGAAAGCTACTGAAGTGCAATAAGTATAAATACAATAAATGCCCAAGTCCTGCCATATTTAATGGGGTGTGTGTATGTGTATATGTAATCTCAGCCTCCAGACATGCCTTTTAAGGCTATTTTCACATGATGACTGAAGAGGACAGCAATTTGCTTGCCAGAATCCTCATCTGCATTACAAATGCCTCTCCTTCACTTTCTCACTTCTCATGTAAAAGACACTTTAAGCTCCTGTATAAAGAGCCAGTTTGGTGTGGTGGTTAAGGCATCAGGCTAGAAACTGAGAGACTGTGAGTTTTGGTCCCGCCTTGGGCCAGTCCCTCTCTCTCAGCCCTGGGAAGGAGGCAAGGGCAAACCACTTCTGAAAAATCTCGCCAAGAAAACTGCAGGCAGTCTCTGAGAATCAGACATGATTGAACGGATTAAAAAAATAAAATGAACTACAATTCTAGTGCTGAAATTTTCCTTCTGTATTGATTCTTCCTCTTTTCCTTTCAAAATCTGTGCTGTTGAGATTTCAATATCATCTCCTCAGTCTTAGCCTGCGTATAGTCCAGAGACCAGGAATCAAACATTTCTCATTTTAAGATTTATTCTTCAAAATAACAATATTCACATTCATGATTAGCATTCCCATACCCATAGATATCAAGAACGCTGAGATCTTGCCTCTTACCCTGGAATTAGCTTCTAGTGTCAAATGTGGCTGGTACTTCTGATCTGAGAGGGAAGATAAGAATTTACTCCATGGTTTTAACAAGCTCTTTAGCCAAGTAAAACTATCAAGAATCTAATTTGAACCCTCAGCCAGATAAGTTAAACTCAAATCAGTAAAATGGAGCAGAGATGAGGCAGGGCAAGGAAATGTCTCTTTAAGAGAGAAGATGAAAGCCAACGCTTTGGCTGCTGTGGATATTACAGGAAGAAGGAGGGGTTCTACTCTAACAAGAACGGAGACCTAATGGGACGGGCAGGATTGTCAGCCTAGACAATTTAGCAGATACCAAAGGCAGGCCTGGTAAAGGGCAGGAATCTCCTCCTTTGTTCCAACAGTTCTATGGCTGGTGAGCGCTGGGGGCCTCACAAGCACGCTTTGCTTTGGGCTGCCATGGTCTACGTTGGTTCCTTTCCCTTGCTGGGGTGGCAGTAGTGAAGCTGGCAGGGAGAGATCTTGAAGTTAAAGGCAGTCACAAGTGTTCAGGGTGGTCCTGAAGACATGTAATAAACTCAGAAACAGGTTTGTTTTTGTAGCAGATCTCATAGACAGCAGTGAAGAGTGGGAATCTGAAGGGAAGAGACACAGGTAACGAAGTTATTAGACAGGGTAAAAGAGATCCTTCCTTAGAAACTTCCATCCCACAAGAAAGGATGGACAGAAAGAACACATCTGCTTTAATTACGGAAATTATTTTGGGGAAAAAAGCTAGACTTTCTTTCAAGCAAATAAGTTATAGCAAACAAACCAGGATGGCATTTCCTTCTACACAAAAATAGTAACTTTTGTTTATTAATCAAGATAATCTGGGCTTCTGTAAACTGATGCTAATGTGCTGAATGATTTGACTAATCAGCTAAAGAACTGGTCACAAATTATTTAACTGGCTGACTGTTCTGCAAACTGGCTGACCACTCTTACCAACCATCATCCAAATTTGGGAGGTGTCAAAGCAAAATGGGAGGGAAGGTTACTGAACTCACTTGTCCGTCAGATTCCTGTGCTTCAGAATGTGGTGCAGCTCTGCTGATGTCTGAGGGCCCTGCAGTTTCTGTCCATTCAGCATCTCATTCTCCAGTTGCTCAATAGACTGTGAAATACAAGACAAAGCTCCATGTGTGAGTGACAGCCTGGATATTCCAGGTAGCTTCTATTGAGCCTTTCTTGGTGATTCCCCAAAGGAAATTTTTACTGTGGCTTCTCTTGCTTTGGACAGACCTAAACTCCATATGCCTTTCCTTCTCCATAGGGCATCCTGCAACCTGTAGTTTAGTGATCAAAGAGTATGCTTGCATGTGTGATCGAGAGGGCACTAGAGCACAAGTATTGTGATCCTTAGCAACCACGATTCCCAGGATTGCTTGTGAAAGGTCATAGCAGTAGGACAACATAAGACAAACATTAATGGATAACACTTTCTTGCTAGAGTGGTCAATCTACAAGTCAGGGTTGCATGGACCATAAATACCAGTTAGTGCATGTGCACCCCCCTGCCCCAGTCCCTGCCTAGTAACCAGGAAACATATGAAAATTTCAACATCATCCTAGAATAGTCTTAATATAATTTAATATACAAGCATGGTCAAACAATCCCACTCCCACCTAGGTGCATAATGTAGCCCCCCCCATCATCATCTCCCCAGTGCAATTCTCTTTCCCCTCAAAAATTCATAAATGTGGCCTCCAGCCACCCAGAGATTGCACATTGTTGCTTTACAGCACATCAGCATTTCTATTTTGGAGTTTAAAATAGTGCTCATGAAATTAGTAAATGCTCTTCCAAGGTCAGGCTTTAGAAATACTTCTCATATTGGACTGGATCAAAGAGGATGAACTCAAGCCAAGTTGTAGTTTGAGGAGACAGGGTACAGGATTCCCTTCTGTCAATACTGCAGATGCTTTCCAACTTCTGCAACACCGCAAAGGAGCCTATGAGATGCCACAGCACGTTGCTTCACTAAAAACCTTGCTGCCCAAAACCAAGACATGTACTGTTTCTGTGGTTTTTGGCCATTCCTGATGTCAGGCTTCTTTCAGCCACATTTACTGACCTTGCAGTCCAGTTCCAGACCTTGACCTTTGCATTCATATTTGACAGAAATTCCAGGTTTTGTGAAATCCTCAGTGTTGCAATTGGAACAACATTGCAACATTTAACTATATATTCTCAATGCCCTTGACAAAAGATATGGGTATCTTTGCACAGCCAGCGCTGCAGAATAAATCTCTTTCTGAATTATTCTCAGTAGATACTTGCAAACTGCAAGGGAGAGAATCTTCAGCCGTGGTTACTCTCTGGCAGCCACTGAGCTTCATCCATATACAGTATATAACTGGAATCTGTTAAGCTGCTGTTCTCAGCTGCTATAGTATATCTTCCCTGTCCTTGAATCCAGAGCCCTTTGATTCCAGATGTCTTTTTCAAGTTCCTTTTGTTTCCCATTGTATGTTTCTACCGCCCAATAATTCCAGTTATTCCTCATGTGTAGTATTTCATTTTTAAGTGAGCTGAACCGTTACGCCGTGGCCTGTCACCATGCCTCTCCCTATAGTTAGGGAAAGCCCTGAAGTCTCAAACATTCTTTCAGCATTGCTGTTCTATCCAGGTATCTCATTCTGGCTCCAGGCTATAGTTTGCTGCTCTGGCTCCTGAGTAAGCTCATCCCTCAAAGGCCCCATTTATAAATAGGCCTGTTCCTAGTCACCGACTAGCCCTCTGAGATGTTGCTGCACTTGCTGAAATTAGGTTAATGCATCTGTCCTCACAAGCTGGTGTCACACTAGTACAATCATTCCAAAGAGAGGGGGAAAGGTTGTAGGAGGAATGGATTGGCTCCCTCTGACACCAGACTGAAATAGCAGCAATCAGGATGTGAGGACCTCTGGAAAGCCAGCAGTATCATAGCAGTGAACTGAGGTGTGTTATGGAACTGTGTCAAATGTCCAAGTAAATCCTGCAACGTTCAGCAGAGCTCACTCCCTGATATGATTGCTGCCTCAGGCTTAAGCAAGCAACTTGTTCTCTGCTGATTCACACATCACACAAAGCCACAATGCAGTTTCTTGTGTTTTGGCTAAGTGTGATGTGTGAACCGGCTTTTGTGGTTTAAAGACTGATTGATTAGCTTTTGTGGTGGACTCAGCCAACAGTGGTTTATTCTAGACACTGTGACTTATGTAGTCATATCTTACCACTGAGTCATAAAATGACCTTGATGGCTTGCTTACCTTGCCAGTCTTGGCAAAAGCCTCAGCTACTTTACGGTTACGGCCTCCATAGCAGGTGGTAATCAGATCAGCAATCCCACAGCTCTCTAGGAAGGTGGAAGAAGTGACAGGGCCCTTGCAGAAGAGTTTGGCAAAGGCAATCATCTCCATCAGGCCCAGCCGGATGACAGCTGCCTTGGTGTTGTCTCCAAAGCCCAACCCATCACAGAACCCAGCTCCAACAGCCACTACGTTCTGAGGGAAAGGAGGGACACCAAGGGTTGATAATCAGCAGGGTTTGGGACTTAGCTAGCTTAGCAGATCAATTAAACAGAGGAGCCTTTGGTGACCTAAGCAAGGTTACCAATGAGCCCACTGTGATGACATTGTGCTAGAGAAGCCCACATTCTAGTTAATGTTGTATTTGCACCAGCTTCCTGGCAATACAGTGTGGCCCCCAGCCCCCACCATCTCCAGGTGTGGTAGAGTAAATAGGGAACTTAACCAAATCCCTTCTGAACGATAGCTGTATCATCTTGGGATTGCTTCAGGTCATTTCTCTGTCCCCAGAAGGGGGAAATTAATTCCTATACCTTGAGGGCACCACAGAGCTCTACTGTGTCTGCTTCCTGCACCACTGTGATTCGGAAGTTGGGTGTCTGCATCAGTTCCTTCAGAATCTGTCCATGCTCTAGGTTCTTGCAGCCTGAAAGAAGCCAGAGGTTACTGGCACAGATATCAAAATGATTATCCATATTTCAACATATGAATTTAAATTAAAGTCTGTTTGTCCATTTAGCCCAGATTTAATTTGAGTGATAGTTGGTGTCTCAGACCAAGATTTTTCCCAGTTCCCAGACCTGCTACTTGACAGCCAATCACTGTAATGGCCTGTATATTACAGTAAATTTTTTATAATTTTGCCTATATATACTTTTACATATAGCATAGTCACACTGCAGATTTTTAAGTTTTATACTTCACATTTAATATACTTTTAATCCGTACATAGTTAGGA